CAGCTGCGGCTGTCCCCGCAGCCGGGAAGGAGGAAGCGGGGCGGAAAACGGGAGTAACTTTCTCTGAAAGCTGCCTCTGCGGCCTCAGCAGCTGGGAGACGGCGGCCTGGGCTTTTGTAATCGGGAAAAGTAGCTTATACGTTTCATGAAGGCTTTGAGGGTTTTGTAACATGCTTCTCATAGAGGCTGTTTACTCATTGCTGCGGGTTCTTCCAGTTCCTAATGAGTTTCTCCTCCCCTATTCCATTTAAAAATGCATTGGAAGAATCCCTTATTTATAAAGAACTTCTGCCTCCCGTCACTTTTCTTTTTGCCCTCTTGGAAAGGCGTTGCAGGATGTTGTGCCAAAACAACCACTGCGCCACTGGATCGAGTGAAGATTTTGCTGCAGGCTCATAACCACCATTACAAGCACCTTGGTAAGCTGGCTGCTGCGCCTGCAGTTTGGGGGTTTGAGTGCAGTGCCCTGTGGCTTGGGGCTGTTGCTTTAGTCAGCTGTGTGGCCGGTAAGAAAAGGTCGCTAGGCCGACAGAAGGTTGTATCAGTCTGGTCAGCCTGCGCCGCCTTTTGTTGGTGTTCAGAAGGAAAGCCAAAGCCCCGAGTGAGGCGGTTGCGGTGCTGGTTGACGAGTTAGAGACGGAGATGTCAGAATAATCCTCAATAAAGCATGTGAGAGCTAGGCTTGATCTTCCTCTTGACTGAAGCCAGCCGGAGATTGCTCATCGCAAGTTCAGAGCTTGGATGGTTTATGTAAAAACCGTCACGGCAGGTAACTCCTGCTGCAGTGACCGCCCGTCTCCAGGCGCTCTGGGAATCGGTGCTTTTCAGAGCCTGGTAGCCCACACCGGGGGCTGGTGAGTACCAGACGGTGACCACCAAATCCTGCCGGACTGGTGCGCAGCCTGGCTGACGGGATTTGAGGACAGAAGTGGATCTGTGTCTGGCGCAAGGCGCAGGTGATGCGGATTCGGCATCTGTGTTGCGTAGTGGTGAGAATAAACTGAGTTGTTCAGAACCATTCTCCGTGGGGCTGTAACAGTGTCCTCTTGTGCAGAGTATTTGAGGTACTTTATGTCATTTGTTCTCGAAATATGTCAGAACTTTGGAAATTTGTCAAGAAAAAAAAGATTTTGAGTTGGTTAATTTTCTGTGTAATGAAACTTGGGATTTTTTAACTTGGACACTAAGGATAGTGATTTTTTTTAAAGTCTTGAAACAAAAGTCAATGGATAGATATTGACTTCGCTGAACCAAAAAGGGAAACGCGGCTAATGTGGCGTTTTGGTCACACAGTCACGTGAGTATGCGCTCAGATCTGCGGTCTAAGAATTGAAGGCTGAAGTAATTGGCTTGACTGATATTTTAAATCCTTATCTTCTGTTTGCTCTGCACTGTGCCATAACTGGCAAGTAAAATCTTAGCTTCGTCCCTATTTAGGGTGTTAGATGTGATGCTGATTGTTTGAAACGTGTCTGACTTGAATGCATGTTCCTCTTACATATGGGCAAAAAAGAAAATTACGTGGATGAGATACCTGTGAGTGCAGAGACACAGTAGATCAATTAACCAAAGCGCTCACTAAACCTTGTTACTGCCTTCGCTCTATGACATCTTAAAAATACATTTAATGTCGTATTCTTAGAACCCCGGAAACTAACTAATTTGTTTTATTTAAACTTCAAATGAAAGTTTGTCAGCTACTCTTTTTTTTTTTTTTTTTTCCTGCCTGCAGGTAAGATAGAACTGTGTCTCATGTACGGCTCTTAGGCTGCTGAGTAGTTGCATGTGAATGAAAACTGTTTAATTGTTACGGTTTATTCCTTTACAAAAACTAAAAAAGTCAATTGGATGGCACTTGTGCATAACTAATAATATGTTTATAATAAAACTGTAGGCTTGGCCCAACCTTTGTGTGATCTTGCCTTATTTCCCACCTATTAAAAGGGAATAGGATTGCTTCTTGTTGCAACAACTCTGGGACAGGAAGTGTGAGATGTTTAAGTTGTAAGTAATGAGAACCTTAAACTTGTTTACTTCATTTCCTCAGTGATGCATTTAATCTGTAACTTAGCATGTAGCAATATTAGATTGTTTTCCCATGGGTCTTGATTTTTAAGCGTTCCTTTATTTTGAATTGACTGAATTGCAATTCGACCAGTTTCCTTCCTTCCGTTGCTCCTCTTAGCTTCAGCGGGTGGATGGTGTTGTCTGAGATAGGGCTGCTTGCCATCCAGGCAGGTCATGGAATGCCTGAGTTTGGAAGGAGATGCACTGAGCCCCGGAGGTGAGAAAACTGATAAGACTTAACCTTAAACCTGCTGCTGGCAGTGTTGGGGCATTGAAAGTGGATTTTCCACTCTCTGCAGTCACATGAGCAACATGATCAGGCATTAATTCTACACATAACTTTCTTATTGTCAGTAATATTTGCTTGATGTTGTTTTTTTCTCCCTCCCCCCAGTGTAATTGTTAAATACCTCTGTTTGTATTGCTGGCAGGAGTGTTTTCTACCTTGTGTGCTGTCCCCAAAAAGGAAGGTTACCTCGGGCTGTATAAAGGAAACGGGGCAATGATGATTAGAATCTTTCCATATGGCGCAATTCAGTTTATGGCATTTGACCAATATAAAAAGGTAGTGGAATTTATTTTGTTTTCCTGTGTGTTTTTGCTGCCTACAATGAACACAGATTCTTTAAGTGATCGAATCTAACACTGAAACTTTAGCGTGTCATTGATTAGCTGCATGTCTTTTCTAAGGTTGCTTTATCTGAATCTCCCCATTAAAAATGTCAGTGCAACTGTGAAATTTTTTGTAGTGTTGCTTAAGGAAAAAAATCTCACTGATGTCTGTACTTTTGTTGTTGAGAATAATACCATTTTTTAAAGAGAAAATGGTAATCTAAAGACTGCTGCTATTTGTATTGCTATAAAGTAGCCCTTAGAGACTAACGGAGGAACCAAATTTCAAATGGAACCTCTTTATTACATTGTGTTGGGATTCTTAGTACTAGATGGAAGGAATAACTTAAACTGGGAAGTCTGTCTGGAGGTGACCATTATATTTGACCTGACAAATGAATGCGTCAGGCTCTAGATGAAAATGACTGGGAAAGAACGTGCTCATTTCAGGATCCCACAACATTTGTGAATTCCTTTCTGCTCTCGTGCATTTACTCTTTTATAATAAATACATAATAAATCCCTGAAACATCTTTTGGAGGTCAGGTGTTAGCTGGAACATGTTTTTAAACATTGCTTAGATGTGGTGAAAAATGCCATTTTACTGTTAGCAGTGAGGGAGTCCAAGTTAGAAAGGTCAGATGTAGTACCCAGTGAAGTAAATTGCATGATCTTTACTGAAGACAGTGTGATTGAAACTGTGATTCTCTTCCCTAAAAAGCAAATTTCAGAAGGCTGATACCAAGAAGTAACTAATGAATTTCAGATCTTTAACTTTTTTTGTGGTGTAATCACAAATGCTGTTGATCTGTGCTTGTTTTATGTTGTGCTGAATAGGAGACTGCATGGCATGCTTTATGATGAAATGATTTCTGAATCGCCAGATATCAAGAAACCATTTAGCATCACAGCAGTTTTTGATCTATTGACTGACAGCAAACATTCAGGATGTTTTGCTGGAATGTGTAAAAGGAAAAAAAGCCCCACCCACTTCTTCAAGAAGGAAGATATGAAATGATCTTTATAGCAGAAACTGCTGCTTAAATAGTCCCAGTTTTTTGATAAAAGCCTGGAAATTAATTTCTAACTTCCTTGAGGACATAACGTAACTTAGGAAGTTCTTGTTCTCAAATGCTTGTCCAATTTCTCTTTTTTTTTTTTTTAAATCCAATTAGTTTTAATAGCAGTATGTTTCACATGCTGTGCGTGGAGGACAAATTTACTCTTCTGAAACATGTCACTTTTCAACTTTGCTTGGTGTCCTTTGCTCTCTATCATGCACCAAGCATAGTATTCAGTTTGTCTTGTTTGACATACATTGAAGATAACTAAATAAACAATTTATCTAATTTCTGAAGTAAGCAGTACAAATACTTTCAATAATCGTTGTGCTTGGTTAGTGGAATTTTAGCACATTAATGCTTTTAATAAGAAATTGGTAAGAGCAACAATGTTCAGAAAATTCTTTTAACAGTGATCAAGTGCTCTGGTTTAAATTTCTAGTGTTGTAAACTTCTTGGAAACAGCTACAGGGTTTGCCCTAATGTGTTAATAAACTGTATACTATATTTCCCTGTATTTTCTGATGTATGACTGTTGTAAACGTTCCATATTTTGTAGGTAATAAAGAAGCAGCTTGGGATTTCAGGGCATGTGCATCGATTAATGGCTGGATCCATGGCAGGTATAGTTTTGTACTTGGATTGCAGACATCCCTTTTGCTGGAAAGTTAATATTTGTTTAGAGGATGATTTGATGTGTTTTCAAGTCAAACTGTTGCACATTTGTATGAAGCAAAAATACTAGTAAATGGTTAATGTAAGAGTTGCCTAATTGAAAGCTGTTTGCCTAAGAGTATTCTTTGTATTTGTTCAAGCATTGAATTCTGTGTCATGTCATAAAGCACAGATTTTATAGTGTTTATTATGGCTTGGGAAAAAAAAAGAAAAAGCCAGTGTCTTCAAGAGAAAGTAAAAAGACTTTAGCAAGTTTTAGTAGCATTGGCTCATCAGCCTGTCTGCCGTTGCTACTAGGCTGAATATAAGCCCATAGAAACAGAGAGAACTGCAGCTGCTTTAATAGGGAGATTTTTTTGGATTTGCCAAGGATGTCTATATTTTTCAACATCCAGTGCAGGATTGTCATGATGCTCTTTCGATCGTATGTGTGAACAGTAAAAAAAATGATTTATCAATTAGAGCAGTAGGAGTAGAAAAGCCGATGTGTAAACTGCATGATTACACACTTCTGTTTTCCTCTTGCTAGTCATTCAGCCGTAAGTAGCTAAGAAAAAACAGGGAAAGGTAAGTAATAGTGGACTGATTTTTAACTGAGGTGGTTCTTCATGTGCCTTTACTTTGTAAAGCAGGCTTGATACTGTCTAGTGACAGGTCTTAAATAGTTATGCCATGAGTATTAGTATTTAGCTTCTTTTGGAATAAGAATAGTGGGGTTTGTTAATACTCCCTTTAGTTAAAGTAGGAAGACCTCACAAAGGTATTTTGGCTTTGCATGCCATCAGAGGAAAAGGAAAGAGAACAAAATGAAGCAATTCAGAGGTCCTAGAAACTAGTAGGCCCCATTTAGCAAGATACATTCCAGAACTTGGCTGGCTTTCGATCTGAAATAGGTGTTAAAAACACATAGATTCTTTTTTTCGTTCTTTCTTTCCCCCTGGCTTTAACTGGACTAAAGAACATTTTAAACTTATTTTTTTCCAAAAGCTTTTTCAGGAGCCTTGTCAGAGACCTGTAACCTGACTGTTGAGGCACTGAGAACACATTCAATAATCAGCTTCACTCTGTCAGTGTTGGACATGCTGGAATTCTTTGCGTGGATAAATTAATAGCATCTGGCATCGTTTTAAGCACCTTACTGGTTAAATCTTCTTTGTGTGGTTAGAGTAACAGAAATAAAACCAATATACAGTACTATCTGGAAACCATGGTCAAATTAAATGCTTTGTGTTGGTGCCTTGAAGTACAGGATAGTCAACAGTCTGGTATTGAGAACCCCAAAACTGAGTACATGAGCTAGACGTCGGTGAGCAGTGAAATGAATAGAGCGGTCAGGTATCCCATGTGAGTGCCTTACTATTTGTTTACAAGGTGGCATTAACTGCTTTTTGGGATACGACATAAAGAAGAGGGGAGGTTTTATATCAAGTATGCCAAGAAGATGCAGAGGAGGGAGGCGTGACTACAAAAAGTACAGAGTTTGAAATCTGATACAGAAGTTCTCTAGATTTGCAAACAAAATAAGAAAATACTTTTAAAAGCAATTGGTAGTATTTCTTGTTTTAAGTCCTGTGGCTTAGTCTCTTGCTGGGTCCAATAAGGGTTATTGTTCTGTTTCTTCCAAGTTTAAAATGACTAAAGGAGATGGTGTGCTGCATACACCACAGTGTTGGAGGAGAGGGGTCTTCAACAGTTTTCTGGAACCCAGTTTTATGCAGTTGAAAATGGATAACCCTTGTTTCCCTTTCCTTTTTCTCCCCTCTACACCATCTAGTCACACAGCTGTCTGCTTTCACTTCTCCGTACCCTACTGATACTTAAATCTTGCTTATGTCAGTGTTTCCAACAGTACTAGCGGTCAACAGACCTGAATCAGCTTCAAAGCGGTGAGAAACATTTGAGTGTCTTCTGTAACTGATAAACAGGATCAAAAGCACATCCACAGGGAAAAACAAGGCAATGAGGATGGGGGTAGTGGAGTGAGAGAAAAGAGAAACCTATTGTAATGCATATATTTAAGGAGGCCAAGTTAAAGTTACTGTGGAAACTTTAACTCTGAATTTCCTGAGCCTTGTGTGATTTAAATTTTAGCTGGAACACCTCATTAACAGATAAATGGTATGTAACTTCTTTTAAGGAAAGACAGAGATGGGGAGAAGGTAGAGAAATCATAGAGGTTAGTGGGGTTTAGGAAACAAAATGCTCAAATAACATCTGTATCACAGGATGATTTTGCAAATTCTTTTTTTTTTTTAGTTTTCTAGTTGAAAAATCTGCATTAAAACACAGAAATGTGTATTTCCTCCTCTGCACTCGATTAACTTACAAATAAAAAAAACCCCAAACAAACAACCAGAAAGGACTAGATGTTACCTAGAATAAACTCGGGTTCCATGAAACTGGTACAGAAAGCATGTTGTTGTTTTTATCCTTTTAGTGAAAGTGATTGTAAAATAGTACCTGATCTAGGAGCATACTGTCTCAATTTTAAATAGTATGTGATTCAAATGTTGCCTCAATTAGTAACTGTTAAAAGATTCGGTGCTGTTTATGTCTTTAAGTGCAATTCTGAAAGAAACAATTATGTATTGGAAGTCTAGATATATTAGGACTTGTAAATTAGGCAGTTCTTTAACCTGTCTGATAAATATTCCTTGCCATCAGCTATTTCTTTGTATGCTTAGTTCCTGAAGCTTTGTTTTGTTCAGAAGATGCCTCCTTGATAGATTAATCTTTGTACTACTTAAGGAGCCTATCTTGTGCAGTTCAAGGCTGTGACTTGTGCTTATCACTTTTTGAACTGTATACCTCTGCATCACCTGGTAGTATTCAATTTGATCTACGTATTTACAGATAAAGTACAAAGAGCATGACACGGAAATTATAAAAACTCGTGTATCAGATATGTTTACAGTACCTGAACTTTGTAAATGTATGTCATGTGGGTTTTTTTCTTGCTTCAGGTTGGTTTGGGTTTTTTTAGTTTTTATTTTCAAAGGAAGAAGATTATTAAGAATGGAGGAATAGTAGGGAAGTTGGGACACAGAAATAAATCCTTATATAGGTAATTTCATTGTCAAGTCCCAAAGCCTGGGAACCAAATCAAGGACAGTCTAATTCCTGTTGTGCTTCACTGACATTAAGTCTTAGTAAAGGTCTGTGTAACCCAGTCCCCAAGAGTATCAAAGGTGCTTGAGACAGTATGGTAAGTGAAGAATGGGCTTTCCCTGACTTCCTCATAAGAATTTACAATGAAAAAAGCCTGTTGTTTTTGAAGAAGTGTTTCCTTAAAGGAGGGAGGAGCTACAATGCCCTATTATGATTATTTCAGATCAGACACTGGGAATTGCAGTATGTATCTCTTAACTGTTGAGATACCTCTAGTTCTGTCCTGTTTAACCAATCATGGGAGATGTTTGCCTTAACTCTCATTATTTTGTATCTTTGCTTCCTCAAGACAAGGAATCAGCCTTAAGATGCTGTGCTCTGACTTCTGATAATTGGTAATTTGCAGACTTGACCACAATGACTTTGTGTCCCAAAGCTGACTGCCATTCCTCTCAGAAAGGGTAGTGTCTCTTCTGAGCCCCAGAGGAAATCTTGTTCCCTCGTACGTACATTTAGCTTAGATGAACTGTAAGCAGTAACATGCCTCCCAGTTGCTTCAAGAAAGTGTATTTTGTGGCTGATGTTAGAAATCCCATTTCTTTCAGAAATCATGGCTAGAGGATTTTAAGAAGTAGTAAAAAAATTTTCCTGTTTAAATCCTTACTATGTATGGTTTCTTTCAGTTTTGCCCGATTTCCCCCCCCCCCCCCCCCAGTTCTGCTATTTTTGGACTGTGATCACTAGTTAGTGCATTCACCAAGCTCTTGGCTGGCCTGTTTGCTAGCCTCTGTTCAGGGAATATTCCTGGGTACACGAGCACTGGGAAATAGTAGAGTGCATGATTGGAAAGAGAAGGGGGATAAAGCTGTCTGTTTTCTGAAGTGGGATGACTTTCCTGTGAACTCTTAAGCTCTGCAAAAGCTTTTTTCCCCTCCTTTTTTTTTTTTTAACTGCATGAACTCATCCATTTTACAATGTTTCTGGACATCTTGGTCAATCTGTTAGGAAAAGGCTGTAGTCTGAGGGATTGCATTTAATAATGTAGGTCAGTGGAAACAGTCCTAAAGTTGTTCTGGTGTTTTGCAGTTTCCAACTTTTGAACCCTATGGGTGAGACAACATCTGAAATCACTGCAGATGTCTGCTTTTTGTTCAGAGAAATCATCCAAAAATCTATGAAAGAGATGTTTTTGTCGTCTAAAATATATTACTGATAGGACACTCTAGAAGGCCACAAACTTTACTCTCAAGTGGCAGTTGACCAGTGTCGGCTTTTTGGATAGCTCACTTAAGGTATTAATTAATTTTTTCTCTCCTCATCTAATCCTGATATATTCTGCCAGGTCATCCTGCTTACTAAAGTTGCCTTTTTTTTTTTTTTTTTGTCTCCAGACATGAAAGTTATGAGGAGCTTTTTGCTGGAGTAGTGTTGGGTTTGTGTTTTTGTTGTTGGTTTGGTTGCTTTTTTTCCCTCCTCCCTGTTGTGGTTTTCTCTTGACATTGTAGAAAGGAGAGGAAATGATACACCTACAAAAAGAGATATCATTAAGAGACTAAAATTTAAGAGGAAGTGGCAATTTCCTGCCAGCATAAAAAGTGTGCTTGTCTTCTGCAGGACCAGTTTTCAAGGGTGATGTTCAGCGCCTTTGCAGCAGCTGCTAGAAAATTGTATCAGTCACAAAGGTTTTTGCTTTCTCTTTCTCCTTTTACCAGTTGTGTGGGTTTTTTTTTGTGATGGTGGTATACCTCCAGAAAAAGACCTCTGGTTTTAGTAAACAGTTTTAACTATTCCCTCCAAATCATTTGTCAGCAACTGAGTGGTTTACCTCCAAAACTAGTGGTAAGAAAGAATTTGTTCTTCAGGTAACTGTTGGAGGAGTCATTCTCTGTACTCAAGTTCTGTTTCCAAAATTACAGTTTGGACACCATCTAATCAGTTTTACAGCAGTTCATAACTAGGTGAATCCCAGGATCTTTTTTTTTTGGGCATCTGAAGTCTAGAAATGGCTTTTTTGGTCAGAGTTTTAAAACTGAAGTGCTGTTGTAACATGAACTATTTAAATGCAGCAATGCAACACAGTTAAGTACAGTGCTATCCTGACTTTATGTTAAATTTTATTAGAATATATTTAGTATTTCAGATGCAGTAGATAGATACGTGTATCTATATCCAGTCATCACATCAAATTCTGACACAGCCTTTTTGAAATGAAACATGTAAATTTGGTGGTTTGATTTTTTTTTTCTTTTGTAAAGATATGGTAGGATTAGGTTTCATGGTAGCAATCCAGTAAAGCTGATGCACTTGAGTAGCCTGATGCTTATGAGCTGTCGACTTGAATAAGAGTGTTCTTGTGAATACAGTTAGGCCCATAAATCTTTGGAAAATCAAGGCCTAGGTGTGCAGCTTCAGTGAACACCAAGTACAAACATAGATCCTACGTGTGTTGCTGAAGTTAGTGTTCCTGTTTGCTGATTGTGACTGTTTCTTTAACAAAATAATCTGTATGTACTATTATATTCACTGCCACAAAAGGAAATTCTAATTTTCAAAATAATCCTAGATTCAGATAAGGTGTAGGTGAGTTTTGTTTGCTTGTTTTGTTTTTGTTTTTAATAAAGGTATTACAGCAGTGATTTGTACTTACCCTCTTGATATGGTTAGAGTTCGTCTGGCGTTCCAAGTAAAAGGGGAACACAAGTACATGGGAATTATCCATGCATTCAAGATGATTTACACAAAGGTATTTTTTCTTTTAATCTTCAGTCCTGTCAAAGCAAAATACGCTCTTTAAAGAATGTTGCGCTGCATTGAAAATAGTGGCTTGGTGGAAAATAACCTGACTTCATTGTGTGCACAGTGATTTTTTTTAAAATATAAAATATTATCTGGCTGCTTCCTTCTATTTAGGCTGTTAGGATGTAGCTCAGCCTCATGTAAGTGGGAGCTCAAACACAGCAAAGAAGTTGCTTTTGAAGAACAAGTAGTAATGATACAAAAAAATAGGGGGAGGAGGGATGTGTATAAGGCAACAATGTCTCCTAGATTATGATGCTGGATGTAGATTTTTCTCCTTCATTTTCCCTTCTTTATCTCCTATGGAGCCAGGCAGTTGTCCCCTCAATTCTTCAGACACAGGAACTGGAACTTGATGTTAGCTCCTTGGTGCTAGGTGATGCTAGTCAGATTACTGTTGTGTGAATCCGTATGAACAGACGTATAATTTGTTAAGATACTACTTGTAATTCTTGCCACAAATGTACTTGTAATTTTCTTTCCAAGGAAGGTGGTTTTAGGGGGTTCTACAGAGGGCTGATGCCAACTGTTGTAGGAATGGCACCGTATGCGGGTAAGTTAAAAAGAGAATGTGGCAGTCCTTCAGCAGTTATGCGTGCTACTAAAATTACATAATATATTTGCATGCCTAGTTAATTAGCTTCTATTAAAATCAAGGATTCTGTGTTTTGGTTTTTTTTACTGAATGGAGAGGGTAGGCCAATAGAAGCATTTGCAATTCTTCAGTCTTAATCTAGTGTTGATCACTGTGTGTTAAAGGATCTTCAACAGGCAAAGCTTAGGCTTTCTGAAACTTGGAGTTGAGAGGGAGAGGGGTAAAGTAGTGGTTCTTTCTTTTCTGCTTCCCAGTTTTCCCACAAGAAAGCATATAGGCTATTTCTCTCAGGTAGATCGGTGAGAGCGCAGAGCGCTCTGTGGATGGAGACTTAGCGCCTCTGTGTATTGGCTCCATCTCCTGGTGACTCTTAGGGAAACGCTTACACAAGCTAAAGCAGTGGGTGACGTGGGATGGAGGAGCGTCAGAGCTGCCCGGCTAAACTACTCGTATTTAAAAAATGAGATGTTATTCAGTTAAAAAGATCCTAGGAGTTACTCTTAGTGGAAATTCCAATCATTTAAAAACCCCACAATCTAGCTTATTTAAAGCATTCTTTTAATGTTAATTATAAACACTAGTTCACTTGGACAGAAGCTACTGTAGATGTTCAAAATAATATTTGCCTATTTCTTAGTAAGAAAAACTTCTAAAAGAATTGTAAAATAGTTTCATTTTGTAATTGCAGCTTTTTGTTTATGATGACGATGCATCAGAAAATAGTTTGCTTTTTTATGAAAGTACATAAAATTAAATTTCCTTTTAGGTTTTTCATTTTTTACCTTTGGTACCTTAAAGAGCATTGGACTTGCTCAAGCACCTAACTTGCTTGGACGGCCTTCATTAGATAACCCCGATGTCTTAGTTTTGAAAACACATGTAAATCTGCTGTGTGGTGGCATAGCTGGAGCGATAGCTCAGACGATATCGTAAGTTTGGGTATTGTTTGGGGTTTGTTTTTTTCCCTATATAGCTGTTCATTCTAAAGGAACTTTTATCTGAGAATATGATTTTATGTAAGTCTAGTTATTAGTAAGGCTTTTAAATCATGTTAATTAGACACTGCAATTCAGTTATTTCCGATTTTTTCCTTTACTTAATCTCTATTTAATCTTCAGGGTCTTTAAAGATATATGCATTGAGCCAATTATACAAATTCACATAAATCTCATGAAACATTGGCATCTTGTTTAGTAAGCTATGAAGATTTGACCATGAACGTGATCTGCAGGATTTTATTATTCAAGTTTATTTCCAAAACAATGTAACCTGTGATGCCACAGAATTAAAAAGAAAAACGGGGGGGAAAAAAAAGTGCCAAGTCTTAGATATTGTATTTGGCATTATTTTTTTTTATTACTTTGCCTGCTTTCTCCATTCTCATGCTGTCCTTGTCACATTTTATTTTGTCCATAAAATTAATTTATTGGACTTACGGCATCAATTTTTTACTAAATCACTGCTTTACAGATGTCAGTTTCTATTAATCCTTAAACTGTTAATTTTATTTTTGATTCAGGTGTCTTCTCCCTCCAGCGTTTTACAGACTATTTCATATTCTCATCTGATCTTAATGTGTCTTCCTTACTCATGCCAAATGGAATATGTGTTAAGTGATGTGATTTGCTGGTTTTGGTTGTATACGGAACTCTCCCTTTTTGGAGAGCTTTCAGCTGTGTTGAGAATCTGAGCTGGATTCCTGACTCACTGAAAAGAGAGCTTGGAGGCTTCACGTGGACTTCTTTGTATTCTTTTTTTAAATGATATTCATATAGTCATCACATGTCTGGTTGATCTGCTGTTTAAATATCTCCTCTGTAGGTATCCCCTTGATGTAACTCGTAGGCGAATGCAGTTAGGAGCGGTTCTCCCAGACTCTGAAAAGTGCCTGTAAGTATTTTCTTTTCAGCTGTAGTAACTGAATTCTTAGGTTTCTGAGCAAAGTTAAATTCTTAAGTTTAAAAAAAACCCCAAAACATAACAAAAACACCCCCCCCAACCTACTATGTTGTTGATTTCTTCATTGTTTTAATGAATAAGTGTCCATGCAGACAAAACTGCCATTATCACTCTGGGGTTAAAAAAGCCCTGAAATCACAATGGCACTTTTGTTAGTAATATTCTGTTTGTATTAGTAACACTTTTTTGTATTGTAACTCAACTTGTGATGTCTGTCTTTAATATCAGCTGGATCCCTAAGATACTGCGTGCTTCTACTGAAATGAAATGTTTCAAATTATTTTTTAATGGTGCAGAATCTGTTCTATAAGATGATTTTGCATAATACTGCTTTATTTGATCTTTTTTTGCATTTATGGTGATGTCCCACACCTCACACTTAGTTGGGGTTCCTCCAGTGGAAGCACCATAATAACCTTAAGATCACAATATTAAATCAGCTCTCACCTTTCATAAACAACCTGGATGTTGCTTACTGCAAACGTTGCTGTTCTGTTTTCCTTAGCAGCTTTAACACTGGTCCTGTGGGTTTGTCTCCATAGATCTCTTAAGAACTAGGTGAAACAAGTGTCCTCTATTTAAAGAAAGTGATTTTGACTATTGATTATGTGTATCCAAGAATGACTTGGGTTCTTTTTTTCCAGTACAATGGTGCAGACACTGAAATACGTCTATCAACAACATGGAATACGAAGAGGATTATACCGTGGTTTATCTCTAAATTATATTCGTTGTATCCCTTCCCAGGCTGTGGCTTTTACCACGTATGAACTTATGAAACAATTCTTGCACCTCAACTAATTTTTTTTTTAAGACTTTCCTATAAAACTACACTATCAGTCCTCAAATTATATTGGCGAGTAAATTACTTGAAGTTTAAAAAAAAAAGCAAGCTATCTGTTACTGTGGAACTGCTGTTGTCTGACATTTTTAGTTGCCAAAGTGTGGTTAATTTCCTGGAGTCAAACCAGGAGACAGATCAAAATAAACATTAGTTAGATCAAGTGCAAAAAAATGTTTATAGCTTCTAGGCTTCATTAGATTAATGCTAAGAATTAACCAGTTTTAAAATGACACCCACATTTTTTATACGGGTTTCAAGCTGTTAGTTATTTAGCTTTATCACCATTCCAGGAGTTACACACATGGTTACATTGCTTTTTAAGCTAGGAGTTAGACACCTGTTCTTTAAAAATTAAATTGAATAAACCGATTTGAACAAAACGCAGTGATTTTTCGTATTCAAATACTTGCCAGCTCGGTAGAGGCTGACCTCAGCAGACCACAGCTTAAGCATCTTATCATTCTTTCTTTGTACAGGTTTTCTGTATGCAAGAACAATGCATATATCTTCAGATTGCTACATGTGAAAGTCTGTTCAACCATTTCAATAAAAAGTGACAAGATGTATGTAACGTTATTAGAAATCTTGCGATTTGGAAGCCAGTTTCTTGGCAGACATTCTATTCTAAAAAATGCTGTACCTACGCAAATAAAACCAGGGGGAACTTTTACAGTGACAAGTGCTAGAGAAGATCTCCTTGAGGCAGTTAGTATGGGCCTAATCTTACGAAGCATTTCTGTACCTGTTCTGTGGAGCTGAATGTTCTCTATTCAGTTTATTGGAGACTGAGTATTTTATGAACTTTCCAGTACTGGCTCATGTAATCATGTTTGTCCCTCCTTAAAACAAACAAGACCGTGTGCTGCTGCATTTACTTATTTAGGCATATGGACCATATTCAGCCTCTGGCGCAAGAAAAGAAGACGAAGATTGTGTCGGAGTCTGTAGATGTGTGTATATACCGTTTCTGAAGTATGGTATGCAATAGACTCTTACATGTTTTCCTCCTCCTGCAATTCATTTTGTAGAGGAGACTGTTTTCCGGGCTTGTTTATACATGACTTGCATTGGTACTCTTTGATTTTACTCACTTGAATCAGGAAACTGTAAAGCATTTACTTTAAGTGCTGTTAAGTTATTTATTTATTGTAAATATTTTAGCGGTGTCTTTTAAGAATTGGTAATGGTTACTTTAAGTGGTGTGATGGTGTGAGCGATTTGCTTAATTTTGACAAAGTTGACCAACTGGATTTTGAGTTATCTATTCAATACCAACTTTTGTGGCTTTTTTTGGTTTTTTTCCAGTTTCTTAAGAGTATGTATTTCTTTGATATTTAACAATGTAGCTATGGACAGAGAATGAGATGGATTTGAATTTATTTTATTAAAAATTTTCAACTAATGTTTTTGTGTGATTTGTATGTGCTGCAGCCAGTATGAATGCATGTTTCTGGAATTATCTGTAATTTTGCCCTTGTAGGTAAATCTGCGTAACACTGGCATTCTTAATTAAGAGACAACAAGATTTTTCATCTGATCTTTAGTTTCACTTAAAGGAAAAGTACCCAATATCACAGTGAATTTGTATCTTTTAAATTCCTTCCAATAGAGCTAAATCCACTGTATTAAAAAAAAAAAAAGGTGCCATTTTTCTTTCTTGTATTGTTTTACTGTGTGAGCAAATAAGCATCGTCTGAGGTGGCATTTCTTTGTCATGTTAATACTGTTTAAGGCTGTTTAATTTAGTTTTAGGTCTTAATTTTACTAAAAACAATGTATTTGAGGAACTCAGGTTTGAGCAGTGTCATGAAAAGTTAAGCAGTTCTTACACAGAATAAAGGAGAATCCAATATATTCACTCCTGAGAGGAAGAGAACAGTAACAAGTGTCTCCTAAATAATTGAGTAGGATATTGAATGTGAAAAGTAAGACTTACTGGATTAAACTATGCTGTATTTTCAGGATTAGTTTTTCAAAATAAAATTCAAAGGTGTATGCATAATTTTAAATTTGGAACTATTTTAATACTTTTGAGCAAGGTCTATGAAAAAAAAAAAAGAACTGTCCAGAAGCTGCATGGGAGGAGACTGGAGTTTCTAATTTTTTAGTAGCTATTTCTAATTCTTTCTGGACAGCTTATTCAGATATTTCTTACTCAGTTAGAACACAGACATTATTTAGAATGTCTGACTACCGCAATGGAAACATGGGACTTAATTGTAAATCCTCTTTCTCCAGTGACAGGCCTATGAAAATGGGGTTTATTTTCATTCTGAACTAGTGAGGAATTTCTTCCCTTTTTTTCTTGTCTGCCTCTTCAGTATTTTCAGTGTACTGAACAAGCAACTTCTAATTTTAGCCATTAAAAGTACAAGATTAGTCTCCAGCCAAGCTCATTTCTATGCTTTAATCACATACTTTCCAATTATTTTTTTGTTTACTTTTTCAGCAAAAGAAAGATGCCTGAATATCTGTTTTCAGGCAATAAAGACAAAAAATCCTACCACAATAACCTCAAAACCAGGAGTTCTAACCAGTGAAGTAATTATTTTTATGAAGACCTGGTTATGTAGTCTTGGATGATATTTTTAAACTTCCTTAAACCCACCTATTTCCAATACTCTTTGGCATAAAAGTAGAAAAGAACGCCTCACCACTTCAGGATTCCTTCAGGTGAGACAGTCTCATACCGGCTTATCTGTTAGATGTCTTGACAATCTCTGTCTTGGGGGGTTTGTTTCCAGTGATTTTGATGTCTTTAAAATAAAGCCCATGCTTCCCCACATTCTTGCCATTGAAAGTTGTGCCTGCTGTAACTAAGGCATTTATGTATGACCACTATTGCAGTTTGCAGTCACTACACAGAAAAGTTTCATGTGTTTGAACCATTTTTTTACACTGATTAATTCCAGTGTCTCAATTTCCATACTAATATTCTCCGGATGGTTTTTGTTGCTCATTTAAATGATCTGAGACTTAAAGGTGGACAAATTCTGTTGACACTCTTCAAATTCCACTCCACCTTCCCTGAAAAAGGCGCGTGCAAGGCGCTTGTCAGCCTTCTTTTATGTTTACAACTCAAAACAGCTGTGTTCAATTCAAATGGGCATAAAAGAAAAGATTCTGTGCTTGATCCTTTTGTTCTGTGCAGTTATTTGTGTGAGTGAGCCAGCTCAGCTCGGACATCTCCCCTTTAGTGATGTGAGTGACAGGCTGCCCCTTGAACATCCTCAGAGTGGATCGCAGGGTGCTTCTGGCTGCTGTGAGTTAGGTTTCCTGTATTCCCGCTCTCCCTTCCGCTCCGGTTGGCAGGATCTGACCTGTTCTCTTACCTCAGTGGTAGCATGGTTGCACGGTAAATCAGTTCAGGAAGCTGACAGCTTTCCTTGCAGCTAATTTATAGTGGTTTATTCTGCTTTTTAACTGCACCTTTGGGTGCTGTTTGATATTTTGGCTCACCCAGAGTAGATAGATACCATGGTGTTTCCACTGAAAGGTTAACCCACCAAAAGAAATGACTGGATTGTAGTGGCGTCACCTTCCTGAGCCAGCACACCGTGTGGCTGCACACTTGCTAGATCTGATGTAAGGTCAATTTAACCTTAGATTTAGCTTTAGGAATAAACTTGCCACCTGGGTGGCAGCAGGCATCTATGCATTACTGAGGCAGTTGCTGGGAAGACATGGCTGTAGGACCCCCCTCATAGATTTCTCTGATTAAATCTGTGGCCTAAAAAATGGGGGCATATCAAGCATTTTATAAATAGATAGATATGGATACGTATAGATAGCTAAATCCCTTTTTGTCCCAGAATTGGAAGGAACATGTTTCAATATCTTGTGATAACAAATTTTTGACACTAAATTCCTGAATTTACACGGTTCAGACTTGATGAAGAAGGCTGATTTATCTTAAAATTTTAAGAACTTTTCTCTCAACCACTGATGCCAGAAAGAATTAAAAGAGCCACAGTCCGAACACTTTAGTGCAACTTTTGGTACTAAAGTAAGATTTGGTATTTTTCTGGATTTTACTGCCTGTAGAGATTCCACAAACTTCTTGGATTTTAGCTAAGTTAAAAAAAATATTGAAGCATATTTTGTACTTTTATAACCATATTCTTTTAAGGTATTCCTTTGGTTTGTGAGACACGTATACGCAACAAGAAAGCGACCACAGAACATGAGGTTATCAAGTGTACAAGGTAAAAGTATTTATGTAATCTCTTTCAATGTCATGCCAAATTATGTGACACTGCATTTCATAGCATTGACACCTGACTATCAAATTACAAGTAAGCTTGTGTTAGAGGTTCTGCAATGGAGAAGCAACTTTACTGCATGTGTTTCAGGGCTATCCCTGAGAAAACTGTAGGGGCTAATTTAAGTATGTTCTCACCTTTTAAATTTCAAGATTTGATCCTTCTGTTGGGATGTCTAACCACTGGCCAAAACTCTCTCCTTCGTAAGACTGGAGCCTCATGCTGTTTTCCAACGTTTGGCTACATTAAAGATACAAGACCAAATTCTTCATGTAGCATTTTTCCTGACATTTAAACTACAGAGCAGTCATACTGGTGTATTAATAGTGGATTTAATACCTGTGTCAGTCTTTGCTAGAAGTGATGGTCTTGGGCCCCCAATGCTTTGCTGAAGTAGATGGTAGTAGTGGTTTTGTGGCCAAAAAAAAAAAAGGCAGAGAAAGAAAATCTTGTGTATCTGAGACAACAGTGTTGCCATCAGAAAGCCTCTGTCAGCAAACAGCACCCAACCTCGTAAGTTCTTATCACAGAAAGTTCGACTCAGGCCGGGATTCGTATTTAAGCACTTGGCAGCACAAGGCACAACTAATTCTACCTCCTGCTGCTGCACCGGTATCAGAAGAGGGGTCACGGTTTTAACGGCCCTTGGCGCTGCGGAAATGAACGGCACGCAGGGCTGCGAAGTGCCCTCTCCAGCACAGACGGAGCCGACACCCTCCCCGGGGGACCGTC